CCAGCAAAAGGGGCAACACCAGGTAACTACAGGCCAATTACCTGCTTACCAACAACTTTCAAATTACTAACTGGTGTGGTAGCTGATGCAGTGCAACAGCATCTAGTTGAAAACAATCTCTTTCCACCTGAGCAGAAAGGAAACCACCCCAATAGCAGAGGAACAAAAGATCAACTCCTAATAGACAAAATGATCTTGGAAAACTGCAAGAGAAGGAAGACCAACCTGAATGTGGCATGGATTGACTACAAAAAAAGGCATTTGACTCTCTGCCACATGATTGGATAATCAAGTGCCTAGAAATAACAGGAGTCAGTAGAAACATCAGAAAATTGGCAAAGATCGATGGCACAATGGAAAACACAGTTGCAGATCAATGGTGAGAGGCTGGGAGAGGTTAATATCAAGAGAGGAATATTTCAAGGAGATTCATTATCACCATTACTATTTGTTATTGCCCTGTTTCCTCTGTCAACAATACTGAATAACTCAGGACATGGTTATCAAACATCAAAAACATCTGCAGACTATCCCACCTCCTTTACATGGATGATCTGAAGCTGTATGGAAAAACATCATCTGAAATAGAATCGCTGCTCAACACTGTCCGTATATATAGCCAAGATATTGTAATGGAGTTTGGCTTGGACAAATGTGCCACACTTACTATCAAACAAGGAAAAATAGTGAAAACTGAAGGAATCAAGATGCCCCACGAAAATAACATTAAGAGTCTGGATGAGGAAGAATACTACAAATACTTGGGTATCCTTCAAGCTGACAACATCAAGCACACTGAAGTCAAGAAAAAGATTAGAGGTGAATACATCAAGAGAGTGAAGAAGATCTTAAAATCCAAACTCAATGGAGGAAATACCATAAAGGCAATCAACACCTGGGCAATCCCAGTATTAGGTACACAGCTGGAATAGTGGACTGGACTCAAGCAGAACTAAAAGCAATGGATAGGCAGACCAGAAAAATAATGACAATGAATCACGCCCTTCATCCACGCAGTGACATTGATAGACTTTATCTACCAAGGCAAATAGGTGGGCGTGGAATGCTACAAGTACATCAGATGGTTGAAGAAGAAAAAATGGCTTTGGAAGAATATCTGAAGAACAATGATGAAGATGCACTGAAATTAGTATATCAGGAAGGCTTACTAACTACTGGAGAGACCAAACTGGCCTACAAGAAAGACCAAATGAAGAACAGAATAGAGGCATGGGAAGACAAAGCACTACATGGCCAATACATTAAAAAAAATAGCTGGGAAAGCAGATAATAATAAAACCTGGCAATGGCTAAGAGCAGGAAAATTGAAGAAAGAGACCGAGGGACTAATTCTGGCTGCACAAGACCAAGCCTTAAGGACAAATGCATACAAAGTCAAAATTGAGAAGACAGCAACAGACAGTAAGTGCCGCCTATGCAAAGAAGCTGAAGAAACAGTGGACCACTTGGTAAGCTGTTGCAAGAAGATTACACAAACTGATTACAAGCAGCGGCATGACAAAGTAGCAACAATGGTGCATTGGAAGATCTGCAAAAAATATCATTTGCCTGTAAGCAAAAACTGGTGGGATCATAAAATAGAGAAAGTCATAGAAAATGATAAAATTAAACTGCTCTGGGACTTCAGAATTCAAACAGACAAGCACCTGCAACATAACACCCCAGACTTAACAATTGTCGATAAGAAAGACAAAAAAGTCTGGATAGTGGACGTGGCAGTGCCTGGAGACAGCAGAATAGACGAGAAAGAACTGGAGAAGATAACAAAATACAAAGACCTACAAATAGAAATAGAAAGACTGTGGCAAAAGCAAGCAAGGGTAGTACCAATAGTAATAGGCTCCTTGGGTGCAATCCCAAAACAACTGGAGCACCACTTGAACACCATTGGCATTGACAAATTCGCTATTAGTCAATTGCAAAAGGCGGCCTTATAGGAACTGCTTCCATCCTGCGACGATACCTGTAATACCATCAAACATCCACATCTGCCTATCCCAGGTCCTGGGTAAGGACTCGATAGGTAGACAAAATGCCAAATCCAGTCTGAACATCTGGCTGACTGTGCGATGATTGATAATAATAGTAATAATAATAATAATAGTTGGAAGGGACCTTGGAGGTCTTCCAGTCCAATCCCCTGCTCAGGCAGGAAACCTTATACCATTTCAGATAAATGGGTGTCCAGTCTCCTCTTAAAAACTTCCAGTATTGGAGCATTCACAGCTTCTGTAGGCAGGTAGTTCCACTGTTCTACCTGTCAGAAAATTTCTCCTTAGTTCTAGGTTGCTTCTCTCTTTGGTTCGTTTCCATCCGTTGCTTCTTGTCCTGCTTTCAGGGGATTTGGAGAATAGCTTGACTCCCTCTTCTTTGGGGCAGCCCCTGAGATATTGGAACACTACTGTCATGTCCCCCCTCGTCCTTCTCTTCATTAGACTAGACATATCCAACTGGCTCTCAGATCAAATATCTCACTTTTGAGTGAGTGCAGGAATCCTTTTTGAGCAGGGATCTCCAAAGCCACAAACCAGAGTAAGAAATATTGAACTGATACTCAAAGAAAAGAAAAATTGTAGTTGCTGGGTGTGACTGTCAGAATTTCCCTGACTGTGTTTCAGTAGGTTGTGTGTTCCTCCAGGGAATCCTTATCTTCATGTATATTGTCACATGAGGACACTTGAATGCCTTCTCTGAAACTTTCATTGCTACCTTACCTTACAACATAATTCCTGAGTGCTGATTCTTTTGTTGTTGGTTGTCCCAAAGGTGATTTTTCAAAAGGCAGCAGGACTTTCTTTGTTTTTGCTTGAAGACATTTCACTTCTCATCTAAGCAGCTTCTTCGGTTCTTGGTCAGAGTCAAAACTGAAGAAGCTTCTTGGATGAGAAGTGAAACATCTTCAAGGAAAAATGAAGATAGTCCAGTTGCCTTTTGAAAAATCACCTTTGCGACAACCATGACCTGGATGACTAAGAATCTTCTTAGACATTTATTGTTAGTTGTTGATCCTGAGAAGCAAAATCTACATAAACATCAGGATCTTGTTTATTAATTCTAAGGATGGTTGCTGCATGTTAATCAGGTTTTATAAAACTATATTTAATCGTATCTCCGTTTCTAATGGATATTGCCAGGTTTCTATTTATGCAGTTGCCAAAGACCATCTAATATCTTTTAATAACTAATTTATTAATTTAGCAACTTCATGTGGCTGCGCATCTCGTGGCAAGTAACTCTGGACAGCATGCAAAAATCCAGTACACAAGTAAGACAATCGTTAGTTAAAATCATTCTATAATAATTATTTAAAAGAATCAAAATGTCAAGCTGAGAAGAATGCTTATGCTACTGTATCCATTACTGCTTTTTAACTTGCCAACAGACTCGGGAGGGGGGGGGAGGAAAAATGAAATGCAGCTTTCAGACATTGGACTGCCAAGCTGTGAGAACCAAGGTTGTCCAAGAACTGTTTACTGAGAACTGAAACACTCTCTCATAACAATTGTCAGACACTTTATTGGATAATGTGACTTAATAGGGGGGAGGGAGATTCTATACTTTAATGTACTTATTTTGGCACCAAGTAACCAGAGCTGGTTTTCTATTCATCTTTGCCGAAATGGTGTGCTCAATAAATTTTGCGTTAGAGATTGGAAAGTCTCAGCTGTGCTTATTTTGTTGGGTTCATCAGTCGAAACCTTGACACAAAAATGATAAAGCTAAAACTGGAAAAGATCAAATCAAATCACTCTTTATGATGGTAATTGGCCAGCATAAACTTCTTGTAAAGGATGAGATGGAAGTAAGAATACATTTAATTTCCTTTCACTAATTCTTTTTGTATTATTAAAAAAAATAAGTTATAGTGGAAATAGATTGATGAATAGAGAGTGAGCTTGTTTTTTTTTTTTTAAAAAAAAAATGCATTTATATTTCAGAAACTCTATAATATTCACATTTCAAAGACCCAGACCTATCCAAAACTCTAATACTGTGTTAAATACATGTTCATAACTTGATTTCCCCCTTTACTATATTTATGAATTCATTTATGAATTGTAAACATACAAACCATACCATATATTCCGGTGTATAAGACGACTTTTGAGAGCGTTGAAACAGGAGATGAACTCGGGGGTCATCTTATACACCGAGTCGTCTTATACGACGGAAATAAGGTAGTTTTCAGCGTATAATATGACTTTCTTGGCATGCGACTCGGCGTCGATCGTCTTGCAACTCGGCGTTGAACTCGAGGGTCGTCTCATACGCCGGATCGCCCTATACGCCGGAATATACGGTAACTATGGCAAGGTCCTATCATATAAGGAGGTACATCTGGTGGGACCCAGAAAAAAGGACTTTTCTGTATTGACTCCCTCCCTTTAGAATATCATCCCTTCAGAAATTTGACACTCTTTTGTAAGCTTCTGAAGACTTGGTTTTGTCAGTGGGCCTCGGAAACTTAGAGTGGAATGGCTTATTTGACTGTGTGTGGTCACTAGGCCAGTGGCATGGGGGTTATTGTTTTACTTTTATTTCTATATTGTATTTTATTGCATGTAAGCTTCCTAGAGTCACTGTGTGTGAGTAGGGGGCTATATAAATTTTCTAAATATATTAACAAGTAAACTACAAACATTGGATACGATCTGATTCAATATCTCTAATCTCCTAACAAGACATATGGATTCTCAATCTCTTGCTATCTTGACAGACAGAAGGTATTCAATTGAAGAATCTTGGAGAACGATTGCAAATGCAGCAGCAAGAGCATTTCTTTTGCAATTGGCAACCATAATAAATTGTAATGATCAGGATAATTCTCCATGAGTCAGAAATAATGACTTCTCCATGTCAGAAATAATGACTTCTACATGTCAGAAATAATGACTTCTACATGTCTCTTATGGACAGCAAACAGACCTTCTCTTCTTTTTCTATCAGCTTTCTCAAAGCCAGCAATATTACATGATGTGTTAATTCCTCTTTATGAGTTGCTCTCTGCAGTTTAATTCAGGCCGTAAAACAATGATGTAACACTTTGGCAAAAATATGCATCCCAGTAATGCAGCACCAGAGGACAAGATGGAGAAGACCTCCACAGCTACCATGGCTTTGCCTTTTGTGCTCAGATAGGCTGGAAAGAAAGAAATCCATACACTGCAGAAAGCCAACATGCTGAAGGTGATGAACTTGGCTTCATTAAAGCTGTCAGGTAATTTACGGGAAAGAAAAGCCACAATAAAGCTGGCAATGGCTAAGATACCCATGTAGCCCAAGACACAGTAGAAAAAGAAAGCTGACCCCTCATTACACTGTAAAATCATTTCTTGGAGCTCTGAATGCATGTCCAACTCAGGGAATGGTGGAGATGTTGACAACCAAAGGATACAAATACATACTTGCAAGAGAGAACAGCAAATTACAGTAGAAAAGGCCAATCTTTTCCCCACCCATTTCCTCATTTGAGACCCTGGTTTAGTGGCCATGAAAGCCACAACCACAGTGATGGTTTTGGCCAGTACACTAGAAATGGCCACTGAAAAAGTGATGCCAAAAGTTGGTTGTCGGAGAAGGCAGGTCACCTTATCTGGTTGGCTGAGGAACAACAAAGAGGAGAGAAAACAGAGCAGAAGAGAGACAAGAAGGGTGTAGGTGAGGGACCGGTTGTTGGCTTTGACAATGGGAGTATCTCTGTATTTAATAAATGTTCCAAGTGCCCAAGAGCTGAAGAAGAAAAAACAAAAAGCAGTTGAGGCTAAACCAATTCCTAAGGGTTCTTCAAAAGTTAGGAATACCAGCAGTTTCAGGATACATCCTTTCTTTTCTTTATTTGGATAATGGTCTCCTGAACATTCGAAACAGTCATCCATATCTAGAAGGAAAATCAAGGAATTTGTCATCATTTGTCATTCCATATTATTCAAATTACTTTCTGAATGGGTGCTAGTTGTTGTTCCTTTTAAGTTCTTTACTCTGGTTACCAGATCAATCATGTTTCTATGAAAATTCAGTTTTTCCTCAAATGGAAAATTTAGGATTGGCATAAAAGAAAGCAGAAATGGAAGGACAATTATTCTTTGGAATGCAACCCTTGGTATCATTTTAAAATTTATTACAATTTCCATTTGGACTTTTCACATTTTGTTCAAAACATGGAAAAGAAAACCATGAGGATATATGTAAGTCTCTAGTAACAGAGTGTAATGACAAACTTTGAAACCTGAACAACAGATTGTGAATCACAGCTATAAAAATGAATATTTGTCTTGAATAAGACGTAGAAGTATTATTTATGTGCCTCTGTTTCACAATACAGCCTTTCTTTTCTTTATTTGGATAATGATCTTCTGAACATTGAAAACAGTCATCCATATTTGAAAGAAAAGTCAAGGCATGTGATTATACATTCCATATTTTTGAAAATAATATTCTTTATGGGTGCCAACTGTTATCCCTTTCAGGTTTTCTATTGGTTATCAGTTGGATCATGTTCCTATGGAAATGCAGTTTTTCCATCATTGTATCAGTTGGGACCAGCATAAAAGAAGTACAATGGGAAGAGCAATTATTCTATGAAATGGAGTTCTGTCTAGCATTTTCAAATTTATAAACATTTTGACCATTTAGACTTTTTCCATTTTTCCTAAACATGGAGAAGAAATCTGTGAGGACGGATATTAAAGTTTAGCTCTTATGGGCAACCTTTGAATTTAGAACAACAGATTGTGATTCATAGGTATAGTAATGAATATTCACCTTGAAGAACTACCAATACTCTTTGTTACACTACAGTAGTGTATTACAGTTTGAATGAAAAGTTTCTGGAATGTTTAACCTACCTTTTTGATCTGAAATCTTCCCTTCTGGGCAAGGAACACAGTTGTAGCAACAGAACTGTTTTCCTTCCAACCCTTTCTTCCAGTATCCAGGGTAGCACTGGTCATTACACTGAGAAAATGGAATAACCTGGTGATAAATATAAAAGATTTTGCAAAGGGAAATTTTAAGCAGTTTTTATTGTTCTCCTTTATAATGGGGGGAGAGAAGAATATTTGAATTTCTAAAGGGTTAGTCCAGGTGTGTTTATAAGGTAAAGGTTTCCCTGTCTAGATGTGTCTGACTCTACGGCACAGTGCGCATCTCTGTTTCTTGTCTGAGGGAGCTAATGTTGTCTGAAGATATTTTCCATGGTCATGTAGCCAGCATGGCTATATGCCAAAGGCCCCTGGAACACTGTACCTTCCCACCAAAGTGGTACCTATTAATCTACTCACATTTGCATTCTTTTGAATTCCTAGATGGACAGAAGCTGAGGCAGGAATGGGAGCTCACCCTGTTGCCCTTAGGTCTCAAACCCTGGCTCTCAGCTTTCCAGGTGACAAGCTCAGTATCTTTAACCACTAAAATGTTGACATTATAAAGATATGCAAAGAGCACATTTGTCTTGGAAGGAAAGAAGGAAGGAAAGAAGGAAGGAAGGAAGGAAGGAAGGAAGGAAGGAAGGAAGGAAGGAAGGAAGGAAGAGGGAGGAAGAGAGAGAGAGGGAGAGAAGGAAGGAAGGGCAGAAACAATAGTACTTAGACTTATATACTGCTTCACAGTGGTTTAAAGCCCTCTCTAAGCGGTTTACAGATATTGCCCCTAACAATCTGGATCCTTAGTTTACAGACCTTGGAAGGATGGAACACTGAGTCAAGCTTGAATCAGTGAGACCTGAACTGCCAAACTGCTGGCAGCCAGGAGTCAGCAGAAGTACCCTGCGATACTGCATACCACTGTGCACCAGGGCTCTTGAAATATGTGTGATTACAAATGAAAATAAAACCTAAATATGAAAAAGTGTCTTTTACATTACAATGTCATTTTGTCAATTTGATGAATGCTTGAACGTTGACAATATTTGTACAGAATATGCCATTTTTCTTTCAAAAAAGACAAATTAGATTTCTAAAGAGACTATGTTCAATATTGGATCATAACAGATCAAATAGTTGATTAAATGACCCACACCTGGTTAAAAGCTGGATGCCAGATAATCAGCTCTTCATGGATGAATAATTCCTTCCTGTTGGGAATATGAGGATCCATTTTTCCAATTCTAACTCTCTGAAAGGATCTATTTGGAAAAGTGACCAAGTTGGTGATGTCGAATCCACCTGTTGCTTCCCCTTTCTCATTCAGGAAGACTCTCTCCCCAGCTGAATTGTTAAAAGAAATGCCTTGAAGAAATGAATGGAGCTACTTGAAAGAGAATGAAAGAGAGGGGGAATCATGAAAGGATAATAATGAAAAAGTGGCCAGTTTATTTAACTTTCACTTACTATTTCTTCCCATTGCTCTAACAAATATCAAATAAGTACACTTAGAATATAGATAATCTATATTTCAGAGAAAGACACAGGTCTGTTTTATTATTAATTTAATATTACTTACAAGGAAAAAAGAAACAAAAGCAGTTAACAAATGAAAATCATAAATTATTGACATTATACAACTTGATTTAGATATGCTTTATATCCACTATTTAAACAATTAGACAATCAAATTTGGACCATATCTAAACTCATCCTATATTGTTTGCTCTTCATTAGTACAGTGAAGACGTGACAAATTTCCTTTAGCCAGATTTTATCATCTGAGATTCAATTATTTTGAGAGAGAGAGAGATTGAGAGACTGAGAGAGAACTTTTTCAAATATAGAGTTGTTTCAAAGGGTGGAGTCTGCAGCTGAAAAGGACTGATGTTTGGTCCATACCTCTTGAACACTGATAGAGAGAGAGAATGCTCTCCATCCCAACTCTGAAATGTTCATGAGCCAAAGAGAAGTAGATAAGGGACCCGGCTGAGGATAATTTTGGATAAGAATAATTGTTCACCGGCTAATATAAAAAGTGAAATGTCTACATTTCAGAAATGTTTTGGGGCACAGAAAAGAAAGGCTGCCTTCAGACACAAGACAATTTAATTCTTCTTGGAACCAGGTTGGATAAATTTACAAGACAGGCCAATTCTATGTGGAGGTGAAAAGTTTTTTATACATAAACCATTATACAATGGTTTATGTCCATCCTCTTTTATTTTATAAAAGAGACCACTTTGATTAGAGATATTGGACTAGACAGCTATATAAGACACTGGAAAATGTTTGTGGACTTTCTACATGCTAAATATAATAACAGATGGTTAACAGAGGAATTTGAAGATTGGTGTAATATTAACAATTGGTGTAATATTAATAATAATATTAACTCAACCTGTTGACTGCCTTTTCTTCTTGGAACCTATATGTTAAAGGTTAAATTTAATTGATCACTTTTTCCTCCTTTTTTCTGCAGTATTTTTTTTTTTGGGTTGTGGTGTTTAAGGTTGAATGTATATTTTTGTTTTGTTACATTTTGTTTGTTTGTTTTACTGTTCTATATTTTATTCTCTATGATAAAACTATAAACTTATAAAAAAGAGAGACACTTGTAGCTTTGTTGCCTCAGTCTCTCTATTGATTTATCGCCACAGACCAGGATAAAAAAGCTATATTAGATGGTGGACAATTGTGGATGATAATTGAAATGCGAGATAGGTGTGATATGGAAAGATTACCTGCCAAGGGTGCAGATTTGGAAATTCAACCCTTTGAATCTCTCTTGGTTGGGATTTTGATCTCATTGCCTCATGCAAAGAATGTGCCACTGCATAAAAAGCATTGTAGATACTGTAGCTTTGGCCAGTCATCTGGAATTCAAACAGAGGTGCAGGAAGATTCTCCAAATTCTCTTCCCCACTACACATTTCATTGATCAATGAAGATAAATCTGGCTTTGAAAATACACAGTCAAACAACTGTTGCCAAATCTCTTGAAGAAATCCATCTTTGTGGGTGGAAGGTTTGATGACTTGAAGAAATTCTTTGAAGCCTTGAACCTCTCTTGCATGCACTGTAAAGGAAAGAGACCCATGGAACATCTGGAGATCCCAACCCCTTTGAGTTCCCGTCAGTATGAAATCAATTGGATTCATCAGGATCCAAACCTTTCTGAATAATGATCTGTCTTTATTTTCAGGATCACGTAGAAACATGACAGTTCTGAGCCACACTATTGTGAATGATTCTCCATAGACAAGAAAAACATTTGCTTTTTGATCTACCAGTTTATCAGAAATAATTGAGACTGAATTAGACAATTCGGACAAGTCTTCTAAGCAGATATGTTGTGGAATTTTTTGTGTGAAAGCTAAACAGATCCCATTGTGTGAAAGCAATGGCTGCAGGTTCTTCAAAAAACATTCTCCCTTATTTTCAAAAGCAAAGACTCCAATCCATGTCCATCCAAAGTGGAGAAGAAGTTGTATAATTCCAATATACTGATGGTCCTCTTTTGGGACCATGCAATAAAGTGGAGATAATTTATTAATCTCAAAATCTTCTTGGGCAAAGGAACTATAAGTCAACTGGACAAACAAAAAAGAGAAATTCATTATTCATGAAAATGATGGAAAAAATATGAAAAAGACTGAACATTTCTCCAAATCTAGGTAGATTATGACAATTCTGATGAACAAGAGAAGCAACTAAAACCCCATGATGAAATATTTTCTCATCTGAAATATAACTAGATTACAACCAAACTCAATTTCCTAATATAGAATTTCAGTATGTTCGTCCCCTTAGAACACCTGGAAACTTGCTAACTATTTGACCTTATGAGCTCTTCTGAGCCTACGGAAAGGTTTTGTAAGAGCTAGACTTACTGGATTATCTTCTTCCCTTATTTGTAGCAGATAGAACTTATGAATGAAAGACTGTGACCATGAGATTCTGGAGGAATAGTTAATCATGTCTTCATTTACTTCAATTATTATAGAGATCTCCAAAAGTACACATAGTCCCAATCCTTCAACAATTTCCAGGCAAATCAGTTGAGTTTTAAATTCAGTTATTATCCAAACCCAACCTAGATATAGCAAGGGGAATTGTCACCCATTGTTGGATGGCTTGGTGGAATCTGGAACTGAGTTGAGGGCAGCAGTGAAAATACTGTATAGCCATGAGTTGGGGATGGCAAGAAGTGGCTGAAAGGAGATTCTCCCTAAACCATGAGACATGACAGCAGTGTTCCAGTTTTTGAGCTGCTCCTAGAAAGACGAGGAGATAAACTATTTTCCAAAGCACCAATAGGCAAGACGAGAAACAATGGATGGAAACTAACCAAGGAGAGAAGCAACCTAGAACTAAGGAGAAATTTCCTAACAGTGAGAACAATCAACCAATGAAACCACTTGTCTTCAGAAGTTGTGGGTGCTCCATCACTGGAGGCTTTTTATAAAAAACCAGGTACTCATTTATCTGAAATAGTATAGGGTCTTTTGCTGAAAGAGGGGGTTGGATTAGAAGATGTCCAAGGTCCCTACCAACTCCATTATCCTATGTTCTATGTTGGGTGTGCTAGCCAGCCTTTTCTATTGTCCTCTTGACATAGCTCCAGATTTTACCACATAATGGTCCAACCAGAATATCTGATGACCCTCCCAAGTAAGATAAATTTTATACTGTAATTTGTGATTTAAATTTTAATTTTCTAATCAATGATTGTAATAAAAGATTTTGATTTTCTTGATTGATCATTTTGAGCCAACCTATTGAGTTGTGGGAACAATTTCAGAAGAGAGAGCAAAGAGAGCAAAAATGAAGGCTTGCAGAAAGACATGGCAAAATACTAAATAACCCTACAGCACCAATCCCAGCAAATGCTAGGAAAAACAATTGAGTTTTACACTAAACTACTTTTATCACACATCAACCAAATTGTAGCACGAAGAAGTGTGACGTATTGCTACATGGCAATCAAAACACGTATATGTTTGTAATAAAATATGTTGATTTGTTTAATTAGATTACCTTGAGCCAGCCTCCAGAGTTTTGGGGAAAACAGCAGAAAGGAAAGAAAAGTGAATTTAACTGAAGTTTTGCAGAAAGGTGTGAAAAACAACAAGTATCTACTATTAATTACAAAATAATTTTCTCTCTCACTCCATCCCAAACTACCTGTGGAATTTTGTAGACATTTATACTTTCTGCCATATAAGATGATGTATCCGAACCTAATCCTCCAATGATGGCTATGAGGTTTTTCCGGCTATCGCATTTGTAGTTAGGGACAAATTCCTGGGATTTGAAAAGGAGGTCCAGAGTGGTGCGGAAGGTCATCCTTGGATTGTGGTAACTATCATAGATGTGGAACCCAAGAGTGACGTTAGGTAAGATCTGGGAGTCCTCATTGATCTCCTTCACAGCAAAGGCCAAGGCAAGGATGTGCTGGTAGAACTTAGTTATTACCCTGCAAATAGTTTAAACACCCCCATTGAAAAAGTTAAATTGACAATTCTTTTATGGTGAAAGCATTGATGTACAAGTAGCAACCATTTCTATTTCTATTGTAAGTAAGATGGGAGTCTTTGTAAAACACTCAATAATTTGCATAGTGTTCAACTATATACAGTGTTTCCATGATTGGCAACAAATACATATACAACAAAGTCGCGATTTTGATTTCTAACTATCACATTTATTTCTATCAGTTCGGCACAAAATAGAACACAGCCAGCAAGCAGCACTCATTTAATGTATGTAAGTTATGTGAGGAGTGACTGTGCAGGTGATATAATTTTAATTATCTTAGGCTCACCAAATGTACTCTTGCACTATAGTTTCATACATTTCATGAGTAAGACTTTAACGCAATGAAAAGAAAATGATTTTTTTCCCACAATCAGATAAGATTGAAAGACAAGGAAGCAAGGGTTAGTTTATATACAAAACCTTGAATTTGTTCTCAAAGAGCTATTAGTCATGTAAGCAATTTCGGGAGATCTTCCTAAAATTAGAAAAATGATTGGGAAGAAAAAATAATCCTTACAGTGGTAAATCATAAGGTTTTAGAGAAGGATGTTCCTTAAATTCAATTCCAAAAAAGTGGTAAATTATCTGAGACACCATCCCACCGACAATGAGGTTACCAGGCTGGTACAACTCATAGGGAATAGGGAAAGCATCACTCACAGGGCAGCTCAGAATAACTATATTTTGCACAAAGAGCATCAAAAAGAACAACATCTTAATGTAGTTGTCATAGGTAAATATATGTGTCTTCTCTCCATAAGGAAGTAGGTATTTCAGTGGTTCATTCAATGATTAATCCAAGGTTTATACCTGACAATGCATCTGATCAGAATTTCCATCATTTTATATTTGAAGGTCCATGTGAGTGCAAATGTGTATATTGACTATCACTTGGATTGAACAGATGTTCTGGAAAGGAAGAAAGGTGGGAGGAAACTTGTAGCAATGAATCTGACAGAGCCATGATTATCCCTTTGTGCCAATCTCCCAGTAGTTCAATAATTACTTTATATCCAAATTGATACTTCAATTGTTGCTTGAATTTAAATTATCTTTATGCCAAGCCCTTGATGTTTTGGACTGGCTAAAAAAATATATGGTGATTCCTGTAGGACATAATTATTTTGGTTTTGATGAGGGAATAAGTGGTTCAACTGATGGTTCAACTTTTTTTAAAAAGTGATCAAACGCTAGTAAAAGTAATCTAAGGGACATTGGCAATTAAAAATAGCCTTAAGTGTTAAAGTTCATGTTCATTTCTTAAATGGAGCAGGGTTCCCATTTCCCATATAATATGAATTTAATGGAGAAGAGGAAACATTTTTACATATATTAAGGACTGACAAATAAGCTAATAATTTCTTTGGAGGTTTTATCCACATATTCAGTCAAAGAATGTTGAAGAATGAAAGGATAATAACATTGATACTCATATTTGGAAAGTTGCATTAGCCATTGCCTTGAGTTTAATAATCTACTCCATCAAATCTTTACTTCCTTTTTACTTATTTTATTTGTGTCCTAAGGCAGAGAGGATATCTTACACATCTTCCTCCTCCTCTGATAACATATGGTAGATATGATATGATATATATGATATGATATATGATATGATATGATAGCATATGATAGATATGATAGCAATCTTCCAATATTTGAAGGGCAGCCACAAAGCACCTGAAGGCAGGAGAAGAAGCAATGGATGGAAAATAATCAAGGAGAGAACCAACTGAGAACTAAGGAGAAATTACCTGACAGTGAGAATAATTAAGCAGCGGAACGACTTTCCTCTAGAAGTTGTGGGTGATCCAACACTGGAAGTTTTTAAGAAGAGATTGGACAACCACTTGTCTGAAATGGAATAGGGTCACCTGCCTGAGCAAGAGGTTGGACTAGATGACCTCCAAGGTCTCTTCCAACATTGTTATGTTATTCCTGTTTTCCTCGCACAGTAAGAAAGTGGGTTTGGCTGAGAGAGAATGACTGGCTCAAAGTTACCCAGTTGTTTTTCATGGTTAAGGTGGCCTCCCACTTTCTAACCTAACCTGGTGCCTAAATCACTAGACCAAACTGACTGTCAAATCTGAAACCATTTCAGACAAATGGCTGTCCAGTCTCCTCTTAAAAACTTTCAGTTTTGGAGCCTTCACAACTTCTGTAGGCAGGTAGTTCCACTGGTTAATTGTTCTACCTGTCAGAAAATTTCTCCTTAGTTCTAGGTTGCTTCTCTCTTTGGTTCGTTTCCATCCCTTGCTTCTTGTCCTGCCTTCAGGGGATTTGGAGAATAGCTTGACTCCCTCTTCCTTGTGGCAGCCCCTGAGATATTGGAACACTGCTGTCATGTCACCCTCGTCCTTCTCTTCATTAGACTAGACATACCCAACTGGCTCTCAGATCAAATATCTCACTTTTGAGTGAGTGCAGGAATCCTTTTTGAGCAGGGAACTCCAAAGCCACATACCAGAGTAGGAAATATTGAACTGATACTCAAAGAAAAGAAAAATTGTGGTTGCTGGGTGTGACTGTCAGAATTTCCCTGACTGTGTTTCAGTAGGTTGTGTGTTCCTCCAGGGAATCCTTATCTTCATGTATATTGTCACATGAGGACACTTGAATGTCTTCTCTGAAACTTTCATTGCTACCTTACCTTACAACATAATTCCTGAGTGCTGGTTCTTTTGTTGTTGGTTGTCCCAAAGGTGATTTTTCAAAAGGCAGCATGACTTTCTTTGTTTTTGCTTGAAGACATTTCACTTCTCATCCAAACAGCTTCTTCGGTTCTTGGTCAGAGTCAAAACTGAAGAAGCTTCTTGGATGAGAAGTGAAACATCTTCAAGGAAAAATGAAGATAGTCCAGTTGCCTTTTGAAAAATCACCTTTGGGACAACCATGACCTGGATGAGTAAGAATCTCCTTAGACATTTATTGTTAGTTGTTGATCCTGAGAAGCAAAATCTACATAAACATCAGGATCTTGTTTATTAATTCTAAGGATGGTTGCTGCATGTTAATCAGGTTTTATAAAACTATATTTAATCATACCTCCACTTCTAATGGATATTGCCATGATATTATTTTAAATAATTATTATAGAATGATTTTAACTAATGATTGTCTTACTTGTGTACTGGATTTTTGCATGCTGTCCAGAGTCACTTGCCAAATGAAGTTGCTAAATTAATAAATTAGTTATTAAAAGAACTAATTTATTAATTTAGCAACTTCATGTGGCTGCGCATCTGGTGGCAAGTGACTCTGGACAGTATGCAAAAATCCAGTACACAAGGAAGACAATCATTAGTTAAAATCATTCTATAATAATTATTTAAAAGAATCAAAATGTCAAGCTGTGAAGAATGCTTATGCTTCTGTATCCATTACTGCTTTTTAACTTGCCAACAAACTCGGGGGGGGGGGAGGGGGGAAGGAAAAATGAAATGCAGGTTTCAGACATTGGACTGCCAAGCTGTGAGAACCAAGGTTGTCCAAGAACTGTTTACTGAGAACTGAAACACTCTCTCATAACAATTGTCTGACACTTTATTGGATAATGTGACCTAATAGGGGGGGGGGAGGGAGATTCTATACTTTAATGTACTTATTTTGGCACCAGATAACCAGAGCTGGTTTTCTATTCATCTGTGCCGAAATGGTGTGCTCAATAAAGTTTTGCATTAGAGATTGGAAAGTCTCAGCTGTGCTTATTTTGTTGGGATCATCAGTCGAAACCTTGACACAAAAATGATAAAGCTAAAACTGGAAAAGATCAAATCAAATCACTCTTTATGATGGCAATTGGCCAGCATAAACTTCTTGTAAAGGATGAGATGGAAGTAAGAATACATTTAATTTCCTTTCACTAATTCTTTTTGCATTATTAAAAAAAATAAGTTATAGTGGAAATAGATTGATGAATAGAGAGTGAGCTTGATTGTTTTAAAAAAATGCATTTATATTTCAGAAACTCTATAATATTCACATTTCAAAGACCCCAGACCAATCCAAAACAGATATCCTCTGATACCGTGTTAAATACATGTTCATCAATTGATTTCCCCTTTTGCTATATTTATGAATTGAAAACATAAAACCATAACTATGACAAGGTCCTATCATATAAGGAGGTACATATGGTGGGACCCAGAAGAAAGGACTTTTCTGTGTTGACTCCCTCCCTTTAGAATATCATCCCTTCAGAAACTTGACACTCTTTGGTTTTGTCAGTGGGTCTGGGGAACTTAGAGTGGAATGGAGCTGATCAAATGGCTTATTTGACTGTGTGTGGTCACCATGTGAGTGGCATGGGGGTTATTGTTTTATTTTTATTTCTATATTGTATTTTATTGCATGTAAGCTTCCTAGAGTCACTGTGTGAGTACGGGGCTATATAAATTTTCTAAATAAATAAACAAGTAAACTACAAACATTGGATACGATCTGATTCAATATCTCTAATCTCCTAACAAGACATCTGGATTCTCAATGTCTTGCTATCTTGAAAGACAGAAGGTGTTCAATTGAAGAATCTTGGAGAACGATTCCAAATGAAACAGCAAGAACATTTCTTTTGCAATTGGCAACCATAATAAATTGTAATGATCAGGATAATTGTCCATCAGTCCTCTATTGTCAGAAATAATGACTTCTACATGTCTCTTATGGACAGCAAAAAGTCTTTGTCTTCTTTTTCTATCAGCAATTTCTCAAAGCCAGCAATATTACATGATGTGTTAATTCCTCTTTATGAGTTGCTCCCTGCAGTTTAATTCAGACCGTAAAACAATGATGTAACACTTTGGCAAAAATATGCATCCCAGTAATGCAGCACTGGAGGACAAGATGGAGAAGACCTCCACAGCTACCATGGCTTTGCCTTTTGTGCTCAGATAGGCTGGAAAGAAAGAAATCCATACACTGCAGAAAGCCAACATGCTGAAGGTGATGAACTTGGCTTCATTAAAGCTGTCAGGTAATTTACGGGAAAGAAAAGCCACAATAAAGCTGGAAATGGCTAAGATACCCATGTAGCCCAAGACACAGTAGAAAAAGAAAGCTGACCCCTCATTGCACTGTAAAATCATTTCTTGGAGCTCTGAATGCATGTCCAACTCAGGGAATGGTGGAGATGTTGACAACCAAAGGATACAAATACATACTTGCAAGAGAGAACAGCAAAGTACAGTAGAAAAGGCCAATCTTTTCCCCACCCATTTCCTCATTTGAGACCCTGGTTTAGTGGCCATGAAAGCCACAACGACAGTGATGGTTTTGGCCAGTACACTAGAAATGACCACTGAAAAAGTGATGCCAAAAGTTGGTTGTCGGAGAAGGCAGGTCATCTTGTCAGGTTGGCCGAGGAACAACAAAGAGGAGAGAAAACCGAGCAGAAGAGAGACAAGAAGGGTATAGGTGAGGGACCGGTTGTTGGCTTTGACAATGGGAGTATCCCTGTATTTAATAAATGTTCCAAGTACCCAAGAGGTGAAGAAGAAGAAACCAAGAGCAGTTGAGGCTAAACCAATTCCTAAGGTTTCTTCAAAAGTTAGGAATACCAGCAGTTTCAGGATACATCCTTTCTTTTCTTTATTTGGATAATGGTCTCCTGAACATTCGAAACAGTCATCCATATCTGGAAGGAAAATCAAAGAATTTGTCATCATTTGTCATTCCATATTATTCAAATTACTTTCTGAATGGGTGCTAGTTGTTATTCCTTTTGAGTTCTTTCCTCTGGTTACCAGATCGATCATGTTTCTATGAAAATTCAATTTTTCCTCAGATGGAAAATTTAGGATTGGCATAAAAGAAAGCAGAAATGGAAGGACAATTATTCTTTGGAATGCAACCCTTGGTATCATTTTAAAATTTATTACAATTTCCATTTGGACTTTTCACATTTTGTCCAAAACATGGAAAAGAAAACCATGAAGATATATGTAAGTCTCTAGTAATAGAGTGTACTGACAAACTTTGAAACCTAAACAATAGATTGTGAATCACAGCTATAAAAATGAATATTTGTCTTGAATAAGACGGAGTATTGTTTATGTGCACACTAAGGCCATGTATTATAATTTGCTTAAATTTATTTATTTATTTAGTGTATGATGATGTTACATTAGCCAGGAGAGTATGCAGACTAGTAGTCTGGCTGACTAAGACTGCTAACTTGTTTGGTTCACACTTGTGTACTTTCCAAAGTGTGCCACATGGAGCAAACGAGCTGTGTATCAGAAGAAAATGTGAGCAGCTTTCCTGCAGCATCATCTGGGGGCCTTGTCCCTCCATCAAAGCTGCTTTGCAACTGAACATTGAAACAGGAAGCCCAGTGCCAGCGGAATTCTAATCACCAAAGTGGTACCTATTTATCTACTCACATATAACATGCTTTTGAAATGCTTGGTGGGCAGAAGCTGAGGCAAATGATGGAAGCTCACCCTTCCACACAGTGCTAGGACTCGAACCACTATAGCAAAGACCTTCAGCATCATTAAGCCACTGAGCCATCGCACCTCTTCATTTGCTTAAATCAATCTAATGAAAACTTGATGGAATATCTAACCTACCTTTTTGATTTGAAATCTTCCCTTCTGTACATGGAACACAGTCATAGCAACAAAATTGTTTTCCTTCAGCCCCCTTCTTCCAGTATCCAGCGGAACAGTGGTCATTACACAAAGAAATTGGAAGAACCTGGTGATAAACATAAAAGGTTTTGGCAAAGGGAGAATTAAAAAAATATATATTGATCTGCAGGATTCAGTCTGAATCAGTCACCAGGACCAAAGGTTGACCAGTGACTGACTCAGAGTAGTTTCTTCAATATTATCCTCAGCCACATATATTTGCCTTCATTTGTGAGTTGTTATTTTTTCTTTTTTATTGGGGAAAATAATTCTTTATTTCCCAAACAGCTAGTGAATATTAGCTAGCTGGATTTATATTACACATTAAAATTTGTTAAAATTATAATCAGCAAAAGGGCCTGTCTGAAAAAGGCACTGTGAGTAAATAAATATACATGATGACAATGTTATGGAAATGATGCAACTCCAATGATTTGCAAGGGAACCAAATATGAAATCCAGACTTTTACATTGTAACATCATTTTGTCTATTTGATAAATGTCCGATTGTGATCCACATTTGTTCAAAGTATGCCATTTGTTTCTTACACACATTGAAATTAGATTTCCAAAGAGGCTTTGGTCAGTATTGTTAAGGAGACCAAGGCCTCTATCTGGGATCATAATATCCTGATTCCTTGAAAATAAGACCCAGCCAGAAAATAAACCCTACCATGATTTTATATATATTTTATTAATTTTCCAATTTTACATTTGAATATTTAAAAAGCAATGTGGTGACTGGGTTAATCAATAGCTCAATAACAAAATCTTAGTGCAAATCTCAGACTAAAACATCAAACATTTCTTCTTTTTCCCTTAATAATTATTGTCTCATATTGAGGTTAGTACAATTCTAATTATATCAACTCAATAAGAACAATCCATATCCTGTTATTGATTTTTACTCAATTTTAATTTCTTATCAATATTACAATTTAACCTTTGATATTTATAATTTTCAGATTTTGAGTAACCAAAATTTCCCTTATTTCACTTCATATAAACTATAATATCCAAAATACACATTTTATCTATTTAAATATAATCTTGTTCTATTTCCTAAGAGTTATCTATTTCCCACCGTATTAAATCATCTACTTAATAACACAATATCCCCTTTAATAAATCAAAACCATTTTTTATATATATTGCCTGGGTTAATCAATAAATCAAACATATTCATAATATTTAATTTTCTTTCCCCTTTTAAGTCTAATTTTTAAATATTAAACCAATAAAATCCTTATTTTCAACTGGTTTCCAAATATTTGAAATCTAATAACTAAAATTCCCCTTGTCTCAACATCTCCCTTTAGCCCACTAATTGGCAATATAAAATCCCCTCTAATGAGTCAAAATTCCAGTTTTTTCAACCTCATTCTAGCTTTCTTCCTTTGTCAACTAGGCTTCCATATCAGTGTCCTTAAATCTCCCTCTATTCTTACATATGTTATTTGAATTAAAGGAGACCATTTGATTGCCAGTTTTTTGGAAGGACTAGTCCATTTGTATTTGTTAAATTGTCTCCCTGTTATTCCAGTTCCCCTTGTTTGCTTTAATATATTTGTCTTCAATTTAATCTGTTCTACTTCTTCCTCAAATTTCTTCTGATTTAAATAAGTCATTTCCATTTTCAATGTTGTCATTTCCTTTTCTGGATTTTCCATTCAGCTGGTCAATTGAGTCCTCTGTCTTAATATTTGGTTGTCTCGCTTCTTCTGTTATCTTCTGCATTGTTAGTTCTTTGGTTGTAGTCAAAATTTGGCTTTGTGCATCTAAGCTGGCGTCTTGATTTTTTATTTTAGGTCTTATTTTATCACAAGCTAAAAGAATGGTTTCATGTATTGCTTTCAACATAGAAAGAATCTTTTCCTAGTTTCCATCCATCTCTTTCACTTATTTGTAAATAGTCTTTGTAGTAAAAGTTATTTGTTAAGGAAAAGTCAGTAAAGGTTTGCATTCACAGTTCAAGTAGGCCAATTTTGCTGCCCAGCTGTTCTTTTGCAGCTAAGACTTTCACAGATGGTACCAAGGTCAAGAAGGTCTTATCTAAGGTCTGGGCTGTGAGCCAAGTCTCTTTGTAGGAAATAACAAATTGAAATACCAAGCTTCACCACAAGATGTCACCGATGCCCTTTAGAGTTTTTTAAGTCCTCAATTTTTCTAATTCTTTTTCCCAATTTTATTTCTTTTTTGTAGATAAAAACAAAAGTCTCCAATAAAAATAGAGAAAAAAATGTTGGTCCCCAAGTTTAAGGAAATATAAATCCAATTAGATTAAAGTTGTTCTTTTTAACGCTTTAATTCCCCTGGGTAGTCAGATGCCACTATTCTTAGAAGGTGGGATAGAAATTCCCTTCCCTCTCTCCTCAGAGAGGGAAGATACTTCAAACAGCCTTTACAGGAAAAGAAGGAACTTGGGGTAAACAGAAGATGAGATCTCACCCAGTTTCATCCGCATTGCTTTCAAAGTGCTTGATAGAAGATTTGACTTTGTCTGTCTGCAGCCTAATGACGAGCCATATTGCTATGGCTGGTCTTTTCTCTGCCAGTTTGGAGGGCTGCCCCGGATCAAATGGAAGGGCTGCCGCCCTCTCCCGATCAAGCGGGGGTCCCCTCCTTGCTCGTCTCCTTTACAGGGTGACTTTCGACTCGTTCCAGAGTCCCCTGGCAAAGGAAAATCGGATATGGAAGACGGAGTCGCCTTCCAACCAGCTGCAGCGGCTGGGCCAGCAAACTAGAAGTCGCTCTAGCATGATTTTTCAGGACGCTCGTAATATAAGTCCCACCTCAAAAATAACCCCCAGTTAAGATCTTCAGTCAGCCAGATGCATTTAGTACTGTATTTCCCTGAATATAAGCCCTAAGCAGAAAAATAGCCCTAATGCACCTTTTGGAGCAAAAATTAATATAAAACACAGTCTTATTTTCAGGGAAACACGGGTAGTTCAAGATATCATCCATTAAATGAATCCATACTTGATTAAAAGCTGGGTGCCAGACAATCAAACGATCATCAATGAATAATTCTTTGCCTGTTGGAACACTTGGATCTATTATTCCGACTTTAACTCTTTGAAAAGACCGATTTGGAAACGTGATCAGGTTGATGATGTCAAATCCCCCCATTGCTTCTCCTTTCTCATTCAGGATCACTTTCTCTCCAGCTGAATTGTTAAAAGAAATGCCATGTAGAAATGGATGGAGCTATGTGAAAGAGAATGAGAAAGAGAGAAAGTTATAAAGATAATACAGATAGTCCTCTATGTACAACAGTTTGTTTAATGTCCGTTACGATGGCACTGAAAAAAAAATTATGACTTTTTTTTTAGATTTAGGACCCTCACCATATTCTGACAAGCAATGTCAATGGGGAAGCCAAATTCACTTAACAACGGTGTTACTTAACAATATTTTGTAGTTTCTTGATGTTCACATCTAAATTTTTCTTGTCATGTACATGTATGCATCCAAACTACACTGTGTTGTTTCTCTGTGTCATAGACTATATGTGGGTATGTGGGCATATGGAATTTTTTAGGTCATATTTATGTAGTGTACATTGGAGCTGGTGACACTTTGAGAGCAATGAATTTTCATTTTAATGTATGCCAATTAGTGTACATTTAAAGAGACAATAAAGATATTCTATTCTGTTCTGTTCTGTTCCATTCCGTCCCATCCCATTATTCTATCCCTTTCCCTTTCCCTATCCCCTATTCCGTTCCATTCCGTTCCATTCCATCATTCTATCCTTTTCCCTATCCTCTATTCCATCCCATCCCATCCCGACCCGACCCGTCCCGTCCCGTCCCGTCCTGTTCTGTTCTGTTCTATTCTATTCTACTTAACTGGATTCTATAAGCAGAAAATATTAAGTATTTCTGCCATAGGTTCAAATGGTAATTCTAGATCAAACTGCTCAATGAAATAAAAGAAATGTCCAATGCAGAGAGAATACCTGCCAAGCCTGCAAATATGGAAGGTCAGTTTTTTTACCCATTATTGTTTTTTTCTTATTGAACCCTGACATGAATAGAGCCTGCAAAGCATAAGCCACAGCATAAACAGCGTTGTAGACACTGTAACTTTGTCCAGTCATTTCCATTTCAAACACAGGCCCAGGAAGATCCTCCAGTTTTATCTCCTCCGGGCACTGCCTACTGGACATTTCTTGTAACTCTGATTTTGAGAATGAACAATCAAGTAATTGTTCCCAAACGTCCTGCAGAAAACCATCTCTGTAGCCTGAATGAGGTTTTATGGTCTGAAGAAACTCCTTGAAACCTACAACTGCTCTTGAATGAACAGTGAAGGAAAGAGCCCCATGGAACATCTGGAGATCCCACGTGACTTGAAAGCCTGAGAGCACAAAATCAATCTGTGCAGTCATGATCCACACCTTTCTAAACGATGCAGTTTCAATGCTTTCAGGATCTGTTACAAACGTGATAGCTCTGAGCCACATAATTGTCCCTGATTCTCCATAGACAAGAAATGTAGTGGTGTTGCTATTCCTCAAATTAGTGAAAATACTTAAGAAGATGTCATAAAGTTTTGTATAGTGTTCTATGTGGATTAGTTGTGGCAGCCTTTGTACAAATGATGAACAGATTCTATTTTGTGAAAGTATGGGCTGTATTTTTTGTAAGAAACATTCTCCATTGTTGTTATCCATGGCAAAAATCCCAATCCATGTCCACCTAAAGTGATGAAGCAGTTGAATAATCCCAATGTATTGATGGTCCTCTTTTGGGATCATGAAATAAAGTGAAGAAAGCTTACTGGTCTGCAATTCCTCTTGGGCTAATGAGCCATATGTCAGCTAAAAGAAAGCAGAGTGATATTCTGCTGAGTTGTTAGCTCAAATCTGATCTTTCTGGATCTAGATTTCCTGTAAAAAATATCCAAGGAAGGATTTTTCCTCTATTTTTTTTGAAATATTAATATAGAATGCAATTTCTAGGAATTATTTCAAACACGTTATAATAGGTCAATTGTCTGAACAGGACCAATGAATACTACATTCAAATCTTTCTTTAGATATGGCATGTCCCTAGATACTCACTTTTGTGATTGGCATTGTAATTTCAGAAAAGAGTGATAAGTATTATACCTTAAGGTCTACACAATGTCTTAATACAAATCTAAGCCTAATATCTAATTGTCAGTAATTACGCTATAACAACAAGGTGCAGAATTTTTCTGCTCATCCGCTCGATACTTACCTGTGGAATCTTGTAGAAACCTACAACTTCAGCTATATTAGATGATGTATCAGAACCTAATCCTCCAATGATAGCCATCAGATTTTTCTGGCTATCACATTTGTAGTTAGGGACAAATTCCTTGGATTTGAAAAGGAGGTCCAGAGTGGTACGATAGGTCATCCTTGGGTTGTAGTAACTGTCATAGATATGGAACCCAAGAGTGACATTAGGTAAGATCTGGGAATCCTCATTGATCTCCTTCACAGCAAAAGCCAAGGCAAGGATATGTTGGTAGAATTTGGTTATTACACTGCAAATAGATTGAACACATAGTTTCAAAATAATAATTTATAATTTTGCAAATTATTTTAGGATGGTCATTATTTGTAACTGACTACCAGAAAACCTGTTTCTGCTTGAAGCATTAAATAATTTTATAATCAGTCCAAGTATACTTTGCACACAATTTATTTCCTTTAATATTTTTCTATTTTTGATTCATCATAAGGTATACTAATTTCTAAAGTGTTAACTTCAGTGTTCAGTATCTCTGTTGGCTTAGTTTTCTAGGAACTTTACTGAAACGTTTTCAAAGAAAAAAAAACAAAGAAGTCCAGTTGCCTTTTGGAAAAGCACCTTTATTTTTGTTTTGTGAAGTGTGGCTGTACTGATTTTTTTTTGTTTAGCATTCTGCTTTGTGATAACCTCCATGCAATCAAATGGGCTTTTCTTATGAGATCATTGTTAATGAAACAAACACAAAGAAAATTCCCTCTTCTGTCATCACTAGAAAACTTTCAAAACACAAAAATTCTTAAAATTATATGAAAAACTCTACATTTTCTATACAAAAAGCTATTAGTCATATAAACGATTCTTTGGCATGTGCGTAAGGTCAGTTAATTCAAAGGAAAATCTTTACATTGGTGAATCATAAAAGTTGAGAAAAGGATGTTGCTTGAATAGAGTTTGATAGAAATGGTAAATCATGTGAGACATCATCCCACCGATGACGAGGTCACCAGGTTGATACCAGTCATGTGGAACAGGGAAAGCATTACTTGCAGGGCAGCTCAGAGTAACTGCTTTGTGCATCAGGAACACCAGGAAGATCAATTTTATGACTCTCTGTGTATGGAGTCTATCTTCTGGCAGATCAAAAAGGAGGAAGAGAACTTTGAATCTCATAGAGACAATATTACCATTCCCTTCCTCCATGTGGCTCTTGAAAGATTTATTGTTTCTAAATTCCTATTCCCTTTTGTACAAAACGTTGTATATTTTGGCCTACTAGAATAATAGAGTGATTATAGTCATTCATAAGGGATATAATTGCCACTGAATCATTGGCAACCTGGCAATTTTTTCTGTATATGTCTGATTAACAAGTTTATTTTTGGGGGTGGCAAAATAAGTGACTGATGCTGAACCTGTTTTGAAAATAGTGGAGAAATAGAATTGGGAAGTTTGAAACTACAACACTTCTCTAATTCTAGAAATCGGGACAAAGATTTAATTTAATCAATGGATTAGGAATCCATTTCCCTGCAAAATGTTTGATGAAATGGTCAAACATCAACTATTAGGTAGAGATTAGCAGGTCTTGATTTGAAAATCCTTTGGAAACTAGATAAAAGTGAAAGATAAATAGAAAATTATTGACACACACAGACCCTCCAAAGGAAAAAATAAGAAGCAAGAGTGGATAGGGATATTTGAAAAAAATAAAGTAAAATATGTTTCATGTTTTATCTTGTGTGTGGTTTTTATGATAAGAATGGTGAATTCACCCTCCACCCCCTGGAACTCACACTGTTCTGCTCTATTAGGTTTTTTTTAAAATTTGTCTTTTAATCTATATCTATCTTTTCATCATCTTTCCAACTTGCTGTCTTTATTTTAGGATTCCAAGGGTATCATTTATGGAAATTCCAGATACTCTACAGTAGCAGGGGGAAAAGTCAGATTTTCTTGACTGCTTAATTGAAATGAATTGAAATAGGTAGCATCTGCCTTTTACAATATACAGAAAAGATATTTTAACACTAAAGGAACAAGCAGTCAAGAAACTGAGACTCTAGAAAGAGTACAGAAAAGAGTAACAAAGATGATTAGGGGACTGGAGGCTAAAACATATGAGGAACTGTTGCAGGAATTGGGTATATCTAATCCAGTGAAAAGAAGCACTAGTGGAGATATGATAGTAATGTTCCAATAATTGAGAGGCTACCACAAAGATGAGAGGGGCAAACTATTTTCCAAAGCACCAGAAGGCAAAAAAAGAACCAATGGATGGAACCTAATCAAAGAGAGAAGCAATCTAGAACTAAGGATAAATTTCCCCAACAGTGACGACAATCAACCAGTGGAATGGCTTGCCTTCAGAAGATGTAGGTGCCCCATCACTGGAGGCTTTCAAGAAGAGGCTGGACAGCCATTTGTCTGAAATGGTATAAATTCTCTTGCTTGTGCAGGGCATTGAATTAGATGACCTTCAAGGTCTCTTTCGGTTATGTTCCAAATATGCTACAGAATAGTATAGGTGAAGGCTTTGGAAAAGATATTTAAATGTTGTGATGCATCTATACCTACAAAGATCAGAATCATACTTGCCATGGTATTTCCTGTGACTTTACAGAAGCTAAAGTGGGATTTTAAAAAAAGAGTATTGATGCTTTTGAAGTTTTGTCTTTGGGAAGACCCCTGAAAATTTTATTGGCAGGCCAGAAGAGAAACAGATGGTCATGAAACAAATCAACCCAGAGTTTTTACTTGAAGCACGAATGACCAGGCACAAATTATTCTATTTGGGCACCTAATATGAAAACCCAGATCCCTGGAAAAGGCCCTAGTGTTGGGAAAGATGGAAGGAAAGAGAAAAAGAGGACAACCACGAGGAAGACTGACATACTCAGTTACGTTGGCCATGAATGTACCATAGGGAAACTTAAAAAAATATGTTAAGGATACACAATCATGTTATAAATCTATCTATGGCAGAAGTCCCCAACCCTCAGACTGTGGACAAGTATCAGGCCACAGCCCAGCTGCAAAAGTGGCAGACAATTGTGCGAAGCTTCATTTGTGCATGTGTGGTATCTAGGTTTTATGTGCGCAAAGCCATCCCCTCCCCCCCGCTGCCACAAATGGTGTTGCTGCTGGTCCATGGAGCCAGAAAGGTTGGGGATCAATGATCTATGGAGTTCCTGAGTTGAAAACAACTTGATGGCACATAATCAATCAGTCAATCAATCAATCAAATCATTGAAATGTTAAGAATTAACCACTGAAGAAAGTTCTGGTGAAACTTTCAACCATTGGAATTATATTCTATGAATAATCTCTTGTTTTTTTCATCCTTGATTATAAAATAATAGCTAAAATCCAATAATATTGAACCACACACATGCACAACTTCCTAATTTTTTTTAGCATTTTAAGTCTAAGCTAAGCCTAAATCAAATCTAAAAAAACCAACAACAATATAGCCCACCGAAGAGTAGTAGTTCCTTTTCTGATTAGTAGACCATGCAGTCACAGAACATGTTACAGCCTGCTTTGAATTTTTCTTTTTAGGGAGATTTTGAAAAAAAAATGTAGTTACACAATCCTATCCTCTTCTGCATTTACACTTTTGATTCAGAACACTCATGAATAAAAGTTCAAAGCCCATGTTGTTGTTGTTGTTAACTGCGAAGTCATGTCCGACCCATCGCGACCCCATGGACAATGTTCCTCCAGGTCTTCCTGTCCTCTACCATCTTCTGGAGTCTGTTTAAGTTCATACCTACTGCTTCAGTGACTCCATCCAGCCATCTCATTCTCTGTCGTCTTCTTCTTCTATTGCCCTCAATCTTTCCCAGCATTAGGCCCTTCTCCAGTGAGTCCTTCCTTCTCATTAGGTGGCCCAAGTATTTGAGTTTCAACTTCAGGATCTGGCCTTCTAAAGAGCAGTCAGGGTTGATCTCTTCTAGGACTGACCGGTTTGAATGCCTTTCAGTCCAAGGGACTCACAAGAGTCTTCTCCAGCACCATAGTTCAAAGGCCTCAGTTCTTTGGTGCTCAGCCTTTCTTATGGTCCAACTTTCACAGCCATACATTGCAACTGGGAAAACCATGGCCTGGACTATATGCACTTCAAAGCTCATAGGAAGAATCAAGACTTCAGTTCCTTGTGCAATGGTTCAGGAATGGAGCTATACTATACTACACTACTACTACTACTACTACTACTACTACTACTACTACTACTACTACTACTAAAGTTGGAAAGGACCTTGGAGGTCATCTAGTCCAACCCCCTGTTCAGGCTGTCCGGTCTCTTCTTTAAAACTTCCAGTGTTGGAGCATTCACCACTTCCGGAGGCAGGTTGCTCCACTTAGTTTTAGATGATATGCTACCAAATTAATATGTGGCAGAAGAGAAAGGAAATTTGACTTCATTACATTAAAACTTATCTTGGATTAATCCCTGATCAAGGGGATTAACAAAAATGAAAGAGTGAGCCATTTGTTATGACCAGGATTAAAAATTTTATTAGGTTCATTTATATGCCAAAGTCTATTCATGCCTAATAAAAATACAGTCACATTGGATGAAAGATATAATCCTTAACTATATCTTATTTCTTCTTTACTTTTGACTTAAGGAGTCATTGAAACAGTCTAAATAGGAGTGCCTAAATCTTGTGACCTAAAATGACATAAAACCATTTGCCTGAAATGGTATAGCATTTCCTGCTTGAGCAGGGGTTTGGACTAGAACATGGGTGTCAAATCTGATCACATCATTTGATGAATCGTGTCATATCACAACGTTTTTTGCCTTTGCAGAGCCAGGGTGGGGATGGCCTGTGCATGACTCATCCAGCCCGCGGGCTGCCGGTTTTACACTCCTGGACTAGAAAATCCTTCAAGGTCCCTTCCCACTCAGTTATTCTGTTAATTTTGCTACAAGTTGTTTAATCTGTGCCCTTATTTAATCAATGTTTTTTTTATGTATTTTAGGACTTGCATATGAAACGAACTTTAGTTCTATATGCTTTGCAAACTAATCTAATGTTCATATCTGCTGGCCAGAGGCATGCCACAGTAGAATTAATGCTTAATTCTACAGACATCTTATTATGCCATTATTTATTTTCCAGGATAAAGACTCTGCAATTTGGCTTTAGATGTTTCCTCAGATGTTATCTCAGCTTCAACATTGAGAACAGGCCTTTGAGAGTTGCAGTTCCCAAGAGAGTTTCTCACAAACTAGCTCAGCTCTTTTCACAGCTGAGATAATTTGAATTATCTCTGGAATTTGCTGACATGGAAACTGAATTGCTTGGAGGATATGAGAATGTTTAGAGAAGTCAACACACACACTATGTCACTATGTTTCCCACTCCTGAAAACGAGCAACTACTAGAACTATGTTGATACTTTCAGAGTTACATATTTTAAAAAATGGGAATAAAATAATAATATTCTGTGGGCTTTCTGTAGATATAAATGAATATATACAGTAATATCAAACTCATGTGAGTGTGAATAAGTGCATATTTGTAAAAATAAAACACAGACACCCAAATATATTTACATATAGAATTATCCTTTAAAATATGTGTCTCTTTATGTATGTATACACACAGTATACTCGGTATACATCACTATACATAGTATACATCACCACCAGATGGATTTGCAGCTGGCTGACAAACCATACTCAACGAGTAGTCCTCAAAGTTACTACATCCACACAGAGAGAAGTAAACAGTGGGGTACCACAAATCTCCATCTTAGGCCCAGTACTCTTCAATATCTTCATCAATGACTTAGATGAAGGAATAGAAGGGGAACTCATCAAATTTGCAGATGATACTAAACTGGCAGGAATAGCCAACACCCCAGAAGACAAGCTCAGGATTCAAAAGGATCTTGACACACTGCAGTAATGGGTCTACCCAACAAAATGATTTTAATGTGGAGAATAGCAAAGTTTTATATTTAGGCAGGAAAAATCAAAGATATAAGTACAGACTAGTTGAGACCTAGCTCAAAAACAGTAACTGTGAGAGGGACCTTAGAGTCCTAGTGGACAATCACTTGACCATGAGCCAGCAATATGCAGCAGCAGCCAAAAAAGCTAATACAATCCTGGGTTGTATAAACAGAGGCATAGAATTAAGATTATGTGAAGTATTAGTACTGTTTTATAAAATCCTAGTGAGACC